CTACAGTTCTGTTGAAGATCTGGTCCATGCCATTATCTCGAGATTCTTCTCCTTCCTGTATGCTTATGATTTGTAAGTTTTGTCTTTTTTGTTTGTTTGTTTTTGTGGTCTTTTATAAATAGTTCCCCAGCTGTCCTGGAACTCACTATGTAGACCAGGCTGGTCTCGAACTCACAAAGATCCGCCTGCCTCTGCCTCCCAAATCCTGGGATTAAAGGTGTGCGCCACCACACCCGGCTCCTTTTCTTTTCTTAAGTCAGAGTCTTTCTATGTAGCTCTAGCTGACCTGGACTAGATATATACTCCAGGCTGGTCTTGAACTAACCAAGATCCACCTGCCTCTGCCTCCTGAGTGCTGGGACTGAAGTCACATGTCACCACACCCAACTCTATCTCAAATATTTCTTACAGTTACAGAAAGTTGTCATGCTCATCCTAAAACTCATTAAAATTCTTATTTCTTGACTTCAAAACTTGCCATTGTAACCAAAGCTGTGTGATACTGGCATAAAAATATGTACATCAATGAACAGAATAGAAAGCCCCCAAACAAATCTCACATACATAGTTGTGCTGGCTAGCTTTTGTCAATTTAACACAAACTAGAGTGACCTGGGAAGAAGGACCAACTGACAAATTTCCCAGATTAGACTGGCCTGTGGCCATGTCTGTGAGGCATTTTCTTGATTGTTAATTGATTTTGAAGGGCCCAGTACACTGTGGGCAGTGCCATCCCTAGGCAGATGGGCTGTAAATAAAGGTAGCTGAGGCACGCACGTGGCATACTTGCATACATGCAGAAGAACATTCATATACATAAAATATAAATACATTTTTTAAAAAAGGAAGACAGCTGAGCAAGCCAGGAGAAACAGTAAGCAGCATTCCCCTGTAGTCTCTGCTTCAGCTACTGACTTCAGATTCCTGCCTTGAACTCTTATCCTGGCTTCCTTCAACGATGGACAATAGCCTGTAAGGTTAAATAACCTCCCTACCCCGCCACCTCCAAGTTGGTTTTGGTCAGAAAACAAACTAGAACAGAAAAATGATACCACAAGTGTGGTATCACTGACAGACTGGACCATGTTGTTTTAGGGAGGACTATGGAAATGTTTGGTACTTTGAGCTGGAAAAGACACTGAGTGCTCAGAGATTAATCAGAAGGAACTTGAAAAATAATGCTGAGAGCGAAGCAGATGATGGAGGCCTGGCTTATGAAGCTTCAGAGGGAAGTCTGAGAGTCTCTCAAAGATTTTATCAGGGCCATTGGTTTGATATATTTGAATTAAGAAATCTGTGCAGGTGAAACATTTCCTTTATTGGGTCAACTCATGCTACTTAGCTGGAAATGAAAAGTCAACTATGATTAATAAGAGGCCAGCATCACTGAAGAGAAATCTTCGGGGGAGTACTTCCTTGAGGTCAGCTGTGGTCCAGATTCCAATGCTGCATCTCATGCTAGTTGCTGAACTTGGGAATGTGTGAAAGTCTCCCATGTGATACTGGTTTTAGTGGCATGAAAGCTGAAAGATTGAAGGGGACATAGAGAGAGGCTGAAGCTTGACACAATGGGAAGTCAGGAGAGGCCATCGGTAAAGGTGCAGCCTCAGTTACAGTGAAGGCCCCAGCATACTGGAGATGCCAGGACCATGGGATGACCACCAAGGACAGCAGCAGACGTGGTGTGGAGCAGGCCTAAGACTATGATACAAGCTGTGTGTGCTGCAGATGCAGAGCTGGAGAAGTGGAGTTGCCAAAGCCCTTTGGATCCCAGAAGATTATGAGTCCCAGATATCAGACACTGAGCTACAAGATTTTGGAACTACACTACTGGACTTCAGTTTTATTTAAGTATGTTTTTATGCTTTGGTGCTAAGAAAGTTTACGACTTGTTTATTTTACAGTAGCCCACAATTGAGAGACTTTGAACTTTTTAAGAGACACTGATTTTTTAAATCACTGAATTTTTATTAATCTTTTATTGAATTTTTGTAAATTTCATACTATATATTTTGATATTTAACTCACTTCTTGTATCTGTATGTCCCCTTAATAACCCCCACCAAATTTTACACACACACACACACACACACACACACACACACACACACACCCTTTACTATAGAGTAAGGTCTGTGTCCCCAAATACTCTTTGGTGTGTTTCATTCACTGGAGCCTGGTCAACCTACTAGGAGTCTCACCCTTAAATGATACTGAATCTCCCCTTCCCATCAGTCAATGGTTTCCAATAGTTCTTGTAGGGTTGGGGTTTATTATTACCTGCTTCTCCACATCTATGCTGTGATTTGTCTGGCTTGATTTGTGAGACTTGTGCATGCTGTCACCATTGCTGTGAGTTTATATGTACAATTGACCAGCTATCTGCGAAACTGTTTCCTTGTGGTCATTTACCCCTCTAGCTCTTATAATCTTCCAACCCCTCTTCCAAAATGATTCCTGAGCCTTGGGAGGCATGGAAGTTTTTTTAAAAAAAATTATTGTTATTTTATGTGTATGAGTGTATTGCTTGCATATATGTAAGTGCACCCATGTTGTGCAATGCATATATGTAAGTGCACCCATGTTGTGCAATGCCCAGAGAGGTGAGAAGAAGGCACTGGATCCCCTGGAGCTGGAGTTACAGATGGTTGTTAGCCACCATGTGAGTGCTGGGAATGGAACCCAGGTCCTCTCTGCAGGAGCAGCTGGCGCTGTTAACTGCTGAGTCATCTCTCCACCCCAACATTGAAATTTTTTTTTTTTTGGTCTTATTGAGACAGGATCTCCCTGTAGCCCCAGCTGGCCTGAAACACACTATGTAGACCAGGCTGGACCTGAACTCAGAGATCTGCCTGCCTCTGCCTCCCAAGTGATGCGATTAAAGGCATGCGCCACCACGCCCGACCACTGAACTTTTTTTTTTCAAAAGACTGAGAATTGTAAAGCTGTACTGTGTTTTATATTTGTGTTATGATGTCTTAGGGACAAGAAATGGCAAGGGTATGGTTTATAGTGATGTGTTTATTTTTCAAATTGACAAGGGGTTAATTGTGATGGTTAGCTTTTGTTAACTTGATACTCCTCTTTGAGGAGGGAACCTCAAATGAAGAATTTCTCAGATCACAGATTGGCAAATAGCCATCCATGTCTGTGAAGTATTTTCTTAACTGTTAATTCATGTAGGAGGGCCCAGCCCACTGTGGGCAGTACCATCTCTAGGCAGGTGGGCCTGAGCTGTATAAAGAGGGTAGCTGAACAAGCCAGGGGAAACAAGCCAGTAAGCGGCATTTCTTCTTGTTCTCTACTTTAGTTCCTGCCTCCAGGTTCTTGCCTTGAGCTCCTACCTTGGCTTCCCTTGATGATGGATTGCAATCTGTAAGATTAAATAGACTCTTTCCTCCCCAAATTGGTTTTGGTCAGGACTTTTATCACAGCAACAAAGAAGCAAGTTAGAACAATAGTCAATGATTTTTTTTTCTTTTGAGATAAGGTCTCCCTATAGCCCCAGCTGGCCTGGAACTTGTTATGTACACCAGGCTGGCCTCAATCTCACAGAGATCCACCTGTCTTTGTCTCCTGAGTGCTGGGATTAAAGATGTTATGCCACCACGCCCAGCTGTCAATGATTTTTTGGGGAAAAGTAGTTTCATCCATGCTGGGCAAGTGGTACATGCCTTTAATTCCAGCCCTTAGGAGGCAGTGGCAGGTGGATCTCAGTGAGTTTAAGACCAATTTGATCCACATATTCTGGCCAGCCTGACCTACATACCAAATTCCAGGCCAGTCAGGGCTCCATAGCAAGACACTGTCTCAAATAAAAACACATTGCTGAAAAAACTGGTTATCTACATGGAAAAGAATGAAGTTTGTCAAGAAAGAAATAGTTGAGCTGGGCATGGTGATGCACACCTTTAGTCTCAGCACTTAGGAGGCAGAGGCAGGTGAATCTCTGTGAAATTGAGGCTAGCCAGGTCTACATAATGAGCTGTAAGTCAGCTGGGGCTACAGGGAGACTCTGTCTCAAAAAGACCAAAACAAAAACAAAAAATAAAACAAAACAAAAAACAATTGAGCACTGGTTGTGGGCCCTTAAACAGAAGGGGTGTTGTTGTAAAGCCAGGTTGTCAGGCATGTCTGCAGATGAACCTTGGACTATGGATGCTCATGCTGACCTCATGAGCTATGCCAAACTATGCCAAACAGTAGCTTCCTCAGAAGAAAGTTTGACCTTTGCACACCAGTCACAATCCTGAACTAACTCCTCTGAGAATAAGCTACAAAAACAGCCACTATCAGATGGCACATTCCTGACTGCTTTAATTGTATGTCTCTGGGCCCACAATGCTAATAACCCCCAAATAAATGCAATTCTTTATTCTCGATTAGACTTTTATCTTAGCTGATGAGTTGGAACCTTACATAAATCATATACAAAAATTAATTCAAGCTGGCATAGTAACACATGACTTTAATCCCAGTACTTGGGATCTTTGTAAGGGTTGAGGCCAGCCTGGTCTATATAAGTTCCAAGCCAGCTGGGGCTACAGGGAGACCCTATCTGAAAAAACAAAACCAGGCTGGGTGTGGAGTCACATGCCTTTGATCCCAGCACTTGGGAGGTGGAAGCAGGCGGATCTCTGTGAGTTCAAGGCCACCCTGGTCTACATAGTGAGTTCCAGGTCAGCTGGTGGATCCTTAGGGTTCCCTGCCAGCAAGTCTACCTACTTGGCAAGTTCCAGGCCAATAAGAGTACCCTGTCTTAAAAATAAACAAACATATATAAAATAACACTAGAACAGATTCCCCATCCCCAAGAACTACCGAAGGGAGAGACCCTTCTGTATTCAATGAGATAACTCACCCATAAGTCCTCCCCCGGGAAGGATCTTCGACAGACTGTGCAGGTAGCTGATGCAAAGGACCCATGAGCTTCAACCAGCTTTGAGGCAGGGATACCAGATGCTGAAATTCAAACCAAAGCTCAGAGTTGCAGCCTCTGGGATGGCAATGTAAGCCAAAAAGCATGACTTCTGGGCTTGGTAAAACTACATTTCAAATAAACTGCACAGTTGATAAGCTGACAGAAAATGACTTCTCAGCTAGGTGTGATGGCACATGCTTGTGCATGTAATCCTAGCACTTGGGAGGCTGAGGCTGAAAAATTGAGAGTTCCAGGCCAGTCTGAGTCACATAGTGAGTTCAAGGTCAACAAGAGCTATAGCAAGACCATCTCAACAACAATAATGAAAATATTTCTTGTAAAGTCCATTATTACTATTTGGTTCTGAAAGGCTGCTGAGCAGACAGGGTGACTTCTCATACCCCCATCACTGTCCTAGCTTCAGGGCTGAAGCTACTTCCCACCTTCCCCTGAGGCCTGTCTTTCTGCCTAGGAGAAAAGAGGCAGCCTTGGTGGGGTAGCCCCTGTAGTCCCTGTGGTTCTGAGCTGTGGATTTCTTCTCACAGGAAACACTCCTGAAGCAAGATGATGCCTCTCTTCAGATCACAGCACCTCTACAGAATGGCAAAGTGGCCAATATCCACTGACTACTCTTTCATGGATCCTCATACTGCACCTTGGGGAAGCACTAGTGAATTCTCCCTCAGGATGCATCACCTAGCAACACAATCCATGAATCACTGTTGTGGCCACTGTATGATGTGGTAGGAGCCAAGAAATAATCACAGACGGACAGCACTGAAAATCTGTAGTTCTTTAGTATAATAGTATTGGAACTGAAAAGGCTCTATCATCCAGAGATATCCACTAATCTATTTAGAAATTGTTCATTAACTTTATCATGTAAGAGATCTGCCTGAAAACAATCTAGGGGTAAAAGAGAAGGTGGAAAGAATAAACAAGGTCTGGCCATATGTCGGTGATGGAAACTGAGGGAGAGGACATGAGAGTTTTGTGTGTGTGTGTGTGTGTGTGTGTGTGTGTGTGTGAGAGAGAGAGAGAGAGAGAGAGAGAGAGAGAGAGAGAGAGATCAAACCAGAGTAGATAAATGATATGAACTTTAGTTCCATCCAAAACTTATGGCCCAGCAGGTGTGGGGGAGAGAGGCCTACAGGGATACAGGGAGGTTCCAACAGTGGCCTCAAACATGGCAGTAGCAAAGGCATAACCAGCTGACTTGCAAAAGTCCCAAGGGTGAGGTATAAGCATTAGGCCATAGACAGCCCTTCTTAGAATCAGGTACAGATGTGCAAGGGTCAGAGGGCTCACCTCTCTCCAGCCCGTCAATATTCTGTGTGTAGAGCCGCAGAAGCAACTCCTTGTCATGGAGCAGTCGGAGGAAGTAATGAGTGACATTGGGCCTATAGTGCCCAGGGTACAGCTCCTTGGCCAAAGTGAAAAAGGGCTTGGGGTTGTGAAAGAAAAATTCAAGTTCAAAGATAGCCTCAGGGTATGGGATATTGTACTGCTGGAGGTTGCTGTAGAGGCCACTCCCTGGGGATCTGTAGAGAGAGAAGGGAAAGGCTGAGTCCTTCAGAAGACAGTGGGGAAATGACATCAAGTCGGAACTGCAGCGTACCTGAAGTCTGGGATGCCGCTGGGTGTGCTGATGCCAGCCCCTGCCATGACTACTACCCTTCGGCAGGCTCTGGCCTGAATCAGCTCAGCTACATCCTTCAGGGAAAGCTTCTCCTTTCCACTGTTGCCTCCACTTCCAAAGCCACCCGAAACACCCACAGAAAGGGAGATGGGCCTTCTTCCACCTGTAAAACTGACAGCAAGAGCACAACAGAAAGGCAGCAGGTGACAACTGGTCTTATGCTAACAACAAGTACAAGTCTACTGTTTCCACCATCAAAAATGGACATGTACTTTTCTTAAGAGCCATCCAAATAATCATTTTTGACTACCAACTAAAGTAGAAAGCAGTCTTTTATCAGAACTCAAAACTTACTTGGGGACAAAAAAAAAATCTGGTTAACAGGTACTGTGTAGTCAGGGACACACCACCTCTCAGTCCCATCATCAAAGGTGTGAACTGAAGTTCTCTGAAAAAGTCACATCTGTGATGATTTTGTAGATTGGTTGCCTAATTAGACTAATTAGGCTGATTGACTAATTCTTTGGATTTGGAACATTGCAGCTCAAGAGCTAAAATTATTGTGGGCTAGTTCCTTTGATAGCCATTTGTCACCCACCTCTGTATCTGACCTAACATCCTTTTGACTATGAGGTACTGTATTAACTTAACGGATCACTAGCTTTCACTTGCCCAAAAGCTAAGAATCATCAGCTAGAATTTGAAACCTATAGCAGAGATTTACTGCTTGGCTGTTACCTGATGTCCCCATAAGTAAGTTTGGTAAATGCACTGATTTTGGACTGTCTTTTGTTCTGTGACTATGAAAGTTTGTATAACCTTTTCCACAAGTGCAATTTTAGTCAGAGTAACCTGAATCCATGTTCCCAGGTCATGGTTGCTCATACTTAGCTCAGAACAGACTAACCCTTATCCCTTTTGAAGCAAAAACTATTCTGTATCAACAGTATTGGCACCCAATGTGGGGCCAGCCCAAGGACAGTCCAATCTCACCAAAAGGGTCACCAGGATCACTGTCAAGTAGCAGAATGGGTCTTTTATGCCCAATCATCCATGTTCCTCTTCATGTAGATGTATGCGGGTCCTTTGGGGTCTGGAGCTCCCTTTGTTTTGGTTGATAGTCTAGTGTCTTATTCTGAGCTATTACACTGGATAGCCTTACTGTTTGAGACCAATTGTTTGAGCATTTGTAATTGAGCATTTGTCATAATCTTGTTTCCTAGTATTCACACTTTTCCTCCTAACTCCTGTACTTTTTCTCTCTGTCTCTTTCTTACTGCAACCTGGCCCTTTTTAGTTTAGAAATTCTATGAAGGCTGATCATAAAGATGGTGAAGGTAAGAGGCATTTGTTTTTTCTAGCCTTACAGGATGGAGGTGTCAAGGGGGAACTCCCTAAGAAATGCAATTATCTCACAGAGAAACCCAAGACATCAAACTTTGCTCCTGGATTAAAAGAAGCCTTGTTGGCTCAGCCAGGAAGACACACATGAGGAGTGATCATTCAGTGTTTTGAACCCCCTCACATTCCTGCAAGCGCATAAGAGAAATCTCTGATACAGTCAGAGAACCTGACCCTCTGGAGGGAACAGAGGGAGCCCCTTTCATAAGTAGCACATACAACTAATCCAAAATACAAATCCTACCAGCAATCATAGAAGTTATATTTTTCAGGAGAAAAGACACTAAAATGAGACAGAAAACTCAGGAAAAGAGAAAATCTTTGGAGACAACCTGCCACAGTACTCCAGCTGGCTTATGTTTGATAATTACAATCATTCAACTTGCAAGTATTTGGAAAAATAGGAACATCTGATATTTCTAAATTGTTTCATGTTCAAAACTAGAAGTCCCAAGCAATGAAATAAAAGACAATAAATGGGCAGACTAATTAGAATTTAAAAGCATCAGCCAGGTGTGGTGGCACATGCCTTTGATCCCAGCACTTGGGAGGCAGAGGCAGGCAGATCTCTGTGAGTTCAAGGCTAGCCTGGTCTACATAGCAAGCTCCAGGCCAGTGGAGGCTACAGAGAGACCCTGTCTCAAAAGGACCAAAAAAGAACAAAAAAGAATTTGTTTTGGATTTATTTTATGTGTATGAATATTTTGCCTGCATGTATGTAAGTGCACCATGTGTGTGCACTGCCTCTGGAGGTTAAAAGAGAGGGTGTCAAATCCCTTCGCACAGGAGTTATGGGTGGTTGTTAGCTGCCATGTGGGTGCTGGGAACAATAAAAGTTTAGAAAGGAGAAATTATTTTTATTTATTTATTTATTTATTTATTTATTTATTTATTTATTTATTTATTTTGTGGTCTTTCTGGGACAGGGTCTCCCTGTAGTCCCAGCTGGCCTGGCACTCACTACATAGACCAGGCTGGCCTTGAAATCACAGAGATCCACCTGTCTTGCCTCCCAAGTGCGGGAATCAAAGGTATGTGTAACCATGCCTTGTAGAGCAGAATTTTTTAAACCGATGTTAAAGGGCAGGAAATAAGAAAAATTTAGGGACTGAGTCAGAATTTAGAGACAAATTCTGAGGAACCCAACTCTCCTCAAGCTTGTACTCTCCTCTACCCTTGCTGACCTTGCCTCCTCCTCTTTATCACCCTTTCCTTCAGCTTCTCCAGTCGTCTCCACAGGAAATAAAATTGTGTATCATGAAAAGAGGGGAGCCATAGCCTCTTTTAAGACATAGCCTAGAAGAAGAGATCCTAACTATGCTCCTTGGACAAAAACTGGGATAAAAACTTTTGATTATGGGTTTCCTGATTATCAAGACCTTCTGCAATTTGCTAAAGAATTTCAGATCACCATTGCCTACAAACCAGGGTTTTTGGTTTTCATCAGTTAATTCAAGGCACAGTTTCATTTGGCAGGTTAGGAAAGAAAACCTTGAGGACTGTAACAAAATAGATGGCAATGCTAAGAATGAGGAAACCACTCTGTGCTACAGTACCAAAAATATTCCCACAAGAGATGTGATAGATGATGATGTTTAAAACAGGTGTGGTAGCATACACCTTTAGTCCCAATGTTTGAAACCACTGGGAAAAATACCATGTTCTGACCTCTGCAAGTATTGCACGACACTGGTGCAGTTATACACATGTAGGCATAACACTCATACACATAAAATTTAAATAAAAAAATAAATAGCTATCATTAATCAAATGGGTGGACAACCCCAAAATCCCTATTATTAAAACGGTATATAAACTCACAAAGAGGCAAAAAAATAATAAAGAATAAAAGTATGAAAGTCACTGAACAGTCTTAGGTTTAGGGGTTCAGGGAGCATTGGGAAAGACTGCCCTTTTAGGTAAGAGATTGATTAGAAGAGTTATCAACACCATGGAAAGACAGTGTGATGGGGTTCTAAGGAGAGTTCAGGCCCTCCACACAGAGTAAGGAGTCCTTTCTTGAAGATTTCAGAGGAAGAGGGAGGTTCTATGCCATCTGGTTAATGATTAGTCTATAATATGATAATATGTGTTTGTAGTCAGGCTGCCTGATTCCTAAGAGGCAGAGAAGGACAAAAGGGTCTTGCATTTTAAAGGAGTGTGTGGCATTGAAGATGTGGGGGAAAGGGGGAGGAGGGGCCCATTTAACTAATTTGTGTTCATCTTACAGGGTGTATCACTGGTATCCCCTGACAGGCTGGAGTCTGGTACCCTAGGGCTTGTATACAAAACCAGTTATAAGGGTGAAAGGAGACAGAGCTGCAGATGGGTGTGACCTGAACAATGTCTGGTCTGGGTTCTAACATTTCTACCCTTTTTGCTTATATACAAAGAAATGGAAGGAAGATTTTATGGGAGAAGAGATAGAGAGGTTTTGGGGGTACTTGACATTGTTTTCTGACTTCTTCCTACTGATGTCAAGATAGTACAACTGACTCAATCCTAAGAGTACAACTGGAAGAAAAGCAGTACCTAAAGCTGAGGATGAGGCTCAGTTAATAAAGTGCTTGTCACACAAGCAGGAGAACCTGAGTTTGATCCCCCAAATCATGTAAAAGCCAGGTATGTCTGGGGAAGTTGAGACAAGGGGATTCCTGGCTCTCAATGGCCAGCCAACCTAGCTGTGATGGACAGTTTCAGTTGTCAACATGACTGACCTGGGTAGAGGGCACCTCAATTGATGAATTTTCTCCATTGGACTGGCCTATGGCGAAGTCTGTGGGGCATTTTCTTAATTGTTGAGTAATGTTGGCGGGCCTATCCCACAGTGGTTGGTGTCACCTCTGGGCAAGTGTCCTGGGTTGTATAAAAAAGCAGGCTGAGGGGGCTGGAGAGATGGCTCAGCAGTTAAGAGCACTGGCTGCTCTTGCAGAGGACCCAGATTCAATTCCCAAGACCCACATGGTGACTAACAACTATGAATAACTCCAGTTCCAGGGGATCCGACACCCTCTTCTGATCTCCATAGATGCTGCACGGCATAGGTACACATTCATACAGGCAGCCATAACACTCATACACATAAAATAAAAATAATAAATAAAATTAAAGAAAAAAAATCAGGCTGAGCACAGGCCAGAGGAGCAAGACAGTAAACAGCATTCCTTCGTGATCTGTGCTTCAGTTCCTGCCTCCAGGTTCCTATCTTGCCTGCCTGGCTTCCATCAGTGATGGACTTCACTTGGAAGAGTAAGGTGAAATAAACCTTTTCCTCCCAAATTGGTTTTGATCAGTGTTTTATTATAGCAATAGAGAAGCAAACTAAGATACTACCCACATCAGTAAGTTCCAGGTTCTATGAGAGAACCACACATATAACACACACACACATACACACACACACACACACACACACACACATACAGCACACAAACACATGAAGAAAAGCAATGCAAATAGCAGAGCCTGCAACAGGGCCTGAAAACGCTGCCACTGAAGTCTACAGCCAGAGAAATACTGAGCAACACAGCTTCACATGGCCTTGGACAGTTTCTGCCTATAGTCTTTATTCAGTGCTCTCTTGGTATCTAATCAAGCTACAGTGTCTTCATTACTACAACAACCTTCCTAGAGTTCAGGACCATCGGCCACAGGCACTATTTCTCACACCCTGAGAACTGGAAGCCACGAGGCCAATTCTCCCATCAGACGGCCCTGATGACCAGTATGGAGATTACATGCTGATAGAAGCAGATTCAACAGATTAAACTGACAACCTTCCCCAGTAAATGGCTAGTCTAAAGTTACTATAGACAGAAAACAGGCAACTGAGAATATTTCTTTTGCTTAATCATACAACCCAGAAATGAAGATGCTAAAAGCACAACTTTTGACTCAGGATAATTCAGAACTTGTCTTGTGGCAGGATGATTCTAATACAGTGTTTGCTCTTTTGTTACTTCCTTTGCCCCTTATAAAACTGACTTCACATCCTGCTGCCTGTTTTCCCAGAAGAATTCTGTTCCCCACAAGATGCAGATATCTTAGTATCCCATTTCAGTGACAGCTTTATTTAACCCCTCCTTTTAGCAAAATAAAAGGCTTCTGTTTTAGCCCTTTTCCCATCCAGCATATCTGCCTGAGAAACACTGTCTCCACTTCAAAGTGCTATAATCCTCCAGGATCAAGTCACCTTTTAAAGGCAACAGTGCTGACCCCTCTCCTGTTAAGGCGCCTGCTATCTTTTCCTTCTGTACGGCTGTAGTAAACAGCAGCCTCATCCATACAGGAATAGTGTGGGGTCATCCCGGGATGTGTGTGCCATCTGCAGACTATGGGGTCATCCAGGGATGTGTGTGCCATCTGCAGACTATGGGGTCATCCGGGGATGTGTGTGCCATCTGCAGACAGAGTAGTTTTTGGCCACTCTGAGCTTCAGGTGCCAAAGCTAAAAGCAAGGTGGTCAAAGGTAACATGAGTATTCTGTTGGTGTACTGTTTAGCTGTACTAGGGTAAACAGGTCAGGGCTTTATCCTGAACTACACCCTTGCCCCTCTTACAGTCTTATTTGGAGTAATCTATATTTTTAAACCTCCCACCAGAGAGCACAGTAAGTACACACAATAGGAGAAAGATCTCCCCTCCTCCCTGCAGAGATGGGCCAACACTTCTGAATAAGGTCCTGCTTCATCAGAGATGGGCATAAAAGTACCTCAACAAGGCCCCTCTTCTGAGCTAAATCAATGAAACCCTCCAAAGGGGCTTCTGACTGAAAAAAAATGATGAGAAACAGAAAGTTCTGGCTCCAAAACTATCCCCCACCTATCAAATGCCCATCTCATTCATGAGGACAAATGCCCATGTCCTCATTGAGGACAGTGTTCATTTACAGTCTCCACCCTAACATTTTCTGAGTTCCTTTTAAATACAAACTGTATGAGAAATACAAGAGACAAGAATAAATCTATACCGTGTGGCAGGAACCCCACCCCACCCCAGAACAAAGAAAAAGAAATGGAACGTGTTCTATGCTTGAATGCACATACACAGCTCCATCTGTCTTGATCTTGTAGCAAAGAGCACCCAATCAGGATATGTGTATTACCATATATGGGAGTCAAAGAAATTTAACTGTACATGGGGTATAAAAGGCTAAGCTTTTCTTTGCTGGGGACCTGCTTTGGAGAACTCTCTCAGGGACTGTACTACTACACATAAACTGCTTCCTGCAAGCCTTGGGGGTCCCAATTTTCTGTTTAGATTGCCTAGTACGACCATTGCTGAGTGCGTGACAACTGCTAGGCATCACTTGGGACAAATGAAGAATGTTTCCCACTCATCTGTAGAGCAAACTGTTTCCAAGTCACTGATGAACTCATGGACAGAATTTTACCAAATATCTAGAACATTCTTAAGATACATATATAACTTAAAGTACATCTACATGGTATGGAAACCTTGTGGGAAGACACCCAGAAGCAGGCATGAATGCCGCCTGAAACACTGCCAAGAGACACAAAGGATGAAGTCAAAGAAGAGTCCCACAATCCAAAAATCAAGAAGAAATTTTGAAATGCAGAAAGTCATGTAAAGGTATTCCTCCTCACAGATAGTCCCTGGTCTCCTGTCTTAGAATTTAATGACAGCCAGTTAGTCTTACAGATGATCTATTATTAGAATTGCCTCTGTGAATACAAGTGTCTGTCCAGGTTCCTGCTTTATCTTTGGCACATACAACAGTCTGGTGTAAAGAAAAAACTAAGTAGCAGTGTCCTGGATGATCACCTCTTATTAAACTCTCCCATACATACCAAGTGAATAGACCATTGTCCACTCAAATATTTACCCATTATAGTGCAACTGAATTTGCTAACTGTGGGCCCTAAGTATGTTTAGTCCCTGGATAAGGACTCCAAGCTGGGTATATAGTTCCAGTGGTACAGTGCTAGCCTATCAGGTAAGTGCAAGGCCTTGAGTTTCATCTCCAAGACACACACACAAAATGTAATGTACACCATGTTGGTAAATTGTCATATGTTGTTTGAGCTCACTGAGAAACTGGTTCTAGAAGCAGGGCCTATCCCTTCCCCTCATTTCAGCGTGTTTGTCTCAGTATCTCCCCAAAGCCTGAGGGAGGGCTGCCTCCAACTCTTTGATAGAAAGGTAAAAGAGCAGTAAAACAGCCCAAGAATAAAAACAGTGTTCTTCAGAACAAAGTAAATGACTTCTAACACAACACATTACTATTGCTTATCCCATAATATAAAAGTGCCTGAAATGAGAAGAAGCTGGAAGGTCAGCTCTGAGGCTCAGCTACGGGATAGAAAGCTCAACCCAGAACTCAAGCAGACAATTTCAACTTCCCCCAGTCAGTTTCTGTTGGATGTCAGGAGCACACAATTTGATGTTATCTCTATTTATTCCAATTTGTTCATCTTCTTGGAAGGCTCGCTCAAAGTGACACTCTGCTCTGCCTGGGACTCACTCTATTGGAAACTCCACCCAGCCGCCTTAAAATAAGTTTCCTCAGTAGATTTCTGCTGGACATTTTGAGTGCCCAATTTGATGTTTTACATACGCCCTCTCTCGCTTTCACTATTACTTAATAGACTCACTCATTACAACCAAAAAGTGGCCGTAGTAGATCATCCTCCCCACTGGACAAACCATGCTATTACTGTGCAGACAGTATGACCATTAGTGGCAATTTTAACACCATAACTTTTGTGGGGGACAAAGATACGTAACAGTTGGGTGTGGTGGCTCATTACTGTAATCCCAGCAGCTGGAGGTGGAAACAGGAGGATCAGAAGTTCAAGGTCATCCTCAGTCACACAGTCAGCTAGGAGCCAGTATGGGTTACTGAGAACCAATCTCACAACTTTAGATACACCAGTCTATTGAGAATTTATTCCGTAAATGGGGGTTATTCAACACAGCGTTTTTGTAATAACACGAAATTGGGAATGATGACATAATTCTGGGACACCCGTACATCGAACTTCTACAAACGTTCAAAGACTCCTGCAAAGGAAATAGTTGCAGGACAAATCTTTACGGAAATAAACTGATGACCGAAGAGCAGGAGCCTCTTGCACCTAGGTTCTCGCTATCACGACTGCTTCCAGCTGCCGGCCTAAAACACCTCCAGCATCCAAGGCCGGACCCCGCGTCTCCCTGCGCAAAGCTCACCTCCCGGGCCCCACAGCCTGAGTCCAGCCAATGCCAGTCGACCGCTCACCGACATGATGTTCCGAAGAGCGACAGCTCCGCCTGGGGTCACGAGCCACCCAGAGCCCCGCCCCCGTGCACCGAGCCCCGCCTCCCCCTAAGTCGCTCGCGCTTTGCTAGGCCCCGCCCCGGGTATTCTTGCGCGGAGCTAGGCCCCATCCCCGGAACCCTTACTAGCCCTCCAGATTCCAAGCCCCGCCCTCAGCACGCTTGCCTAGCCTCGGTGAGCCAAGCCCAACCCCGCGCACTCTAAGGTCCTCTCCTGAGCTCGGTTCCCGGTACTCTAGTCCGCGGTGCCGAGGTGGAAGTAGGCTCCGGGTGCAGGTAGCTTCCGGCTCTGCGGGAAACCAACCCTGTAGGCTTCATTGTTTTACCCCGCGCCGGACCTTCCCGTTTTCCGCGGGTGGTAACTAACGCTCTCTGAGCGCTTACCGAGGTCAGGTATTGCGTCACACCTAGACCCCCGCCAGACCACAGCCCGGTTTAAGAGCCAGCTAGAGGCTGGCTGTCCATTAGTGCTCCTACCCCTAGACTCCTAAGGCCACAACCAGTTCAGCTGGAGAAGTTTGACCACAGCCGAAAAGAACGCTGTTACCATGACGACCCACGGGGCCTCGCGAACGTTCCCGGCGTGCCTTGCGCGGCGCAGGAAGTGAGTGAGCACTTCCGTCCGCCATTCCTGCCGGAGCCGGCCTCTTAGTGTTATCCCTGTCTCGCCACTCCACGCGAACATGAAGGACGTTCCGGGCTTCCTACAGCAGAGCCAGAGCTCCGGGCCTGGGCAGGCCGCCGTGTGGCACCGTTTAGAGGAGCTATACACGAAGAAGTGAGCTCCGAGACGGGGGCGAGCGGGCGCTGGCTGGGCCGGGAGGGTCCCGCATGCGGAGGCAAAGTGCGACAGCCACAGACTCAGGCTGTTTCCGTGGTTCTGAGTCAAGGGCTCACAGCCCTCGACCCCGACGGCTGTGACGGGCTACTGAGCTCCTCCTTCGCTGATCTTTCTCGAGCGACTCAGGCTGGCCTGTGATGTTAGCTTTTGAGCAAACACAATTTCAGAGACAGGATGTCTGTCTTTCTGACACACGGGACCTAGTGGCCCGACCTCAGCCATACTCTATGTGACACTAACTTGGCCTGAAGCTGGTAAACAGGAGAGACACGGGTCAATTTCCTACTGATTCTGCAACCCATCTTTTAGTGGCCCCTGCTTTCTGTTGTATTTAACTTTGGGCTTTGCTGCTAGAGGGATCTTAGAACCCGGGGTTAGAAACAGTGAAACAATTGTAATTTGCCTACATTTATCTGGCGCTGGCCCACAAGGAAACCACTTAACTGCAGAGGCTTTCCACACCTATTCCCGACATGTTTTGATGTTGTTCAGCAGTTTTCTGCTATTCGCGTATTTTTTTTTTTTTTAATCCTTTTGAAACAGGGTGTTCATGTAGGTCCTCAGCTGGCCTGGAACTTGTGTGTAGACCAGGCTGACCTTGAACTCACAAGAGATCTGCCTGCTTCTGCCACCAGAGTGCTTGGACTAAAGGCGAAGGCCATCACACCTGGTGTTATTCGTATTTTAAAGAGATATTTCATTTATTTAGCGCATATTTTTGTTTTTGAGACCTTGGGGGGGGGCCTAACTATAATCCTGGCTGGCCTGTAACTTACTATATAGATTAGACTGGCCTGGAACTGGAGATCCGCTTGCCTCTGCCTCCCGACTACTGGGATTAGCAGTGTATGCCACTACATCAGGCTCATTTTATATTTTTCAAAGCACTGTACCTGCATTATTAAATACTAATTACCCTTTGGTGTCTATGTGAAATGTGTTATGTCATTTACCTAGAGGTTTTATATACTGGCTTGTTTTGCATATTAGCTTATTTCTTCATCCTTCCTTTATCCCATCCATTCATGAGGAAACTGAAGATCAGTTTTCTCTTCTCCCTCCCTGAGATATTCAGCTAGTAAGTAGGGGAGCTTGGAGTTCAACATAGAGCTGTAGGATTCCAAATGCTTTTCTTTTGCCTTTTTTTTTTTTTTCAAAGACAGGATCTCCCTGTATTACCAGCTGGCCTGGAACTTGATGTGTAACCCAAACTGGCCTAGATCTCAGAAAGATCTGGGATCAAAGGTATGTGACAGAATACCTGGCTGGATTCTAAATTCTTATTTCCAGTATTTCCAGTGGACAAAGTGATCTTTCAAAGCAATCTCAAAAGAGACTCTCCATTTTATAGCTGGGAAAACTGAGTCTTGGAGAGAATAAGAGACTACTTGGATAGCAGAGCCAAGAAACAGAACTGGGGTTAATTAGTGCTTTGACATTCTCTGTACTTTGCAGTAGAAACTGGGTGATACTTGCTGTTTGACGAGACTATCAAGACTGAAAATGTCTGAATTCATGCTAGTCTATAGGTCTAAAGGGCCTTTTTCATTTTTCAGGTTGTGGCATCAGCTGACACTTCAAGTGCTTGATTTTGTGCAGGATCCTTGCTTTGCCCAAGGAGATGGTCTTATTAAGGTAAATGACTTAGCCAAGCTAGATAAGGCTAAGTGAGTATGTTTTTGGACTTTTTTTTTCTGTGTGTGTGCGTGTGTGTGTGTGTGTGTGTGTGTGTGTGTGTATGCATGCCACCTGTGTGCAAGTGCCCCCAGAGACCAGAGGAGGGCATCAGATCACCTGGAGCTGGAGTTGCAGGTGATTATGAGCCACCTTATGTGGGTCTAAGAACCTGTATCCTCTGGAAGAGCAACAAGTTCTCTTGACCTCTGAGCCATCTCTCCATCTCCTGTTCATAGACTTTAAGACAAAAGGTGGGCTTTATGATGACCATAGTAAGCTGCACCTCTTCAGCAAGAACTTTTTGTCAAGGACTGTTGCAAGGACTGTGGTCTTCGACAGCATTGGGAGAATACTTTTATTTCATTTTCTCATAGAGAAACAGAAGGTTAAGTAAATTACCATAGGTTATAGCTAATAAATCATATTAGCATAAAACAGACTTTCTGGTTTCTAAAACTCTTAAGGTTGGGAGTATAGCTCAATGGCCATATGTGCTTAGTATATACAAGACCCTAGGCTCCATGCACAGCATCACCAATACAAAAGCCCAAACCAGTGACACACCTGTCATCTCAGCACTTGGGAACCTGGGGCTGGAAAATCAAGGCCAGTTTGGGTTGCATAGCAAAATCAAAGGATCCAGGGATAGATGCCATAGAAACCTTTTAAATAGCTCCCCTCACTTCCTAGCTCCCCTACCCACACTGATTCCACTTGCCTAGTATTTCTGTCCTGAGGGGGACTGCATAACATGCTACCTCTGTAAAAGAGCACTTTTAGGATTTTGTGAACAGAAAAAAAAAACCAAAAAAACAAAAAACACTCCTTCTCAGTCTTCCCCAGACTCCCTGACAAATGCTCATGAATTTGCTCACCAGAATCCTTTTCTTTATGAACTCCTTCCCTCCTTCATCTGATTTTGAAACTGTAGCTTGAGTTATTTCTCCTGAATATGTTATAGTACACACAATGAAGCTTTCCACTTGCTACCTTACCTTCTGGGGTTGTAAAATATGATTTTTACTCATCAGTTTGGTATTTTACTACCTATAGGAATTTGCAATCACCTCTCAGTCTAAAGATTTCACTGAGTAGTCTGTCTTCTGAATTAAGTAGAAAAATGATTAATGAGATATACTACATCAAAGAGATTTATAGTTTATAGTTACTTGTCCTTTGCTTTTTTAAATTTCAACTGATATGGCCCTCCTTTCTTTCTCTGTTTCTTAAATAAAAATATTATACGTTTGTCCTGTCATCTCATCTAGCCCAGCTCCTTGGAGACAGCATTTGCCACACACATTGTTGTCTGTAGTAGAGGCCTAGGGTCTGAGAAAGTGCCCAACTGTATGCTCAATGGCCAAGAAACTTGATAAGAGGATATAATTAACCTGTAGCCTTCTGAAATCTGAAGGAACACCATTCTATTTGATAGGAACACTTCAGACTGGTCCATCTGTTGTACTTGGAGTACCTTAATAGAAGAATGCAGGCATTAATTTTTAGGAGATTCTTTTAGACCAATGTTCTAATTCTCAAAACTTCAACTTAGTGTTTTCTTCAATCCATTGGTGATCATATATGAACTTACATAAGCCTTGATAGGGGACTCCCATCATTCAGTAAAGGTTTAGGCAGTGCTTTTTGTATGTTGAACATTGTGGTTTGCAAACTGACACTTGACAATTTTTTCTTTTTTGTCATTTTTTTAACTTTTACAAAAACTTTATTATAGAGAATTTCATACATGCATATGAGGTGTTTTGATGAAATCCATGCCCACTTCCTCCCTTCCAACACCTCCCATATCTCCCCATCACTTTTTTTCTTTTTCTTTATTTTTATGGGGCTTTTGGGTACTCTATCATCCCCCCCTCTGAAGAGGTAACCCTAAAATCTTTTAAGGATTAGATACAAGCTCCCAAATACTTTTGACATTTTTGGCCTTTGGAACAGAGTATGTTGCTAACAGACCCAAGGACATTTTGACTTTTAGCCAAGAAACTGGCTACTTTTCTTTAGGGTGTTTTTACCCTACCTGCATAGCCAATTCCTACCTCCTATTCTTATTATGCCATCCCTTGAGGGAGTTACCCAAATAGGCAACAGGGAATCGGGACGCAGACTGCTCTGGCTTCTTCCATGCTGAACAGG